TGCCTAGCTCATGTTCTGACGTAAAGAAGAACTAACTAGGAACACAATCACTTCACACGCTCATACAAAAGAAAGAGAAACTGCAGAAACCATCGTTAAAATAATGCAAGCCTATCTGTCTATTTCATGGGGCTTTATCGCTGCAACAGCTCCAATGTTTTTGCTTGACCTCAAAACGAGACTCGCATGAAAGCAATTCAGAGGCTGGATGCTGCACAGGGTACCTGATCATTGTTTTCGCTCATTAACGAGGGAAATTATGCATGAAAAGAAGCATTTTAATTGGTGGAAATGGCCTGCAGGGTATTCACTGCGACTTCGTGACCGACCTTCAACCCTCATGAAGTAGTTCGAGCCTCGGCATTAATTTAGTGTTATTTTAAATTAATATGACACCAATAATCAACGATTCCTATAACAATATAATCATTGCAATGTTATAATATATTTTAAATTTTCCCTTGAAAATCTTAGGGTATCCATAGAATACCTTGAATGCCCGCGATACCATCTTGCCATGTGAAATCTGAACGTTGTTTGAAGGCAAATGGCGGAAACAAGACAGAAAAAACCAAAGGGTCGTAGACTGATCACGTGACAAAACAGCTTTGATGCAAAGATGGAAGACAATCGAGATACCTGAGTTCAATAACACTGAAACAGGCACTTTAAGACCCATTGAAAGTAGGCTTTTGAGTGAAAACATTGATTCAAAATGTTGTGTACAGTTTGATAGCTCGTGATAAGGTTGTTGTGGCTCAAACTTTGGTGCCATTATCCTTCATCTCTTCCAGTCTTGCTGTAGCTTATATGCAGCGTCCTTTCAAGGCACGTCGGAGCCGGTGAAAGGGGGGCTGGGGCTGTAGTCCCCGCATTTTTTGCTGAAGTGTGATATCAAAGATAATGGTGAAAAAAATACCATAAAAGTTTACCAATTTGCCTAGAGTCCTTCCCCCACCCCCAAAAGTTGCTTTCCTGTTTTTTTTCCTGATCAGTTTTCCTATTTGCTGCCAGGGAGCAGTGTTGCCCGAGGGGCAAATCACTCTAAGAAAATCTCGTACAGCTTTTGGGAAAATCCTATTGTTTTTTCTGAAAATCCCCAGAAATCCTTTTCCGAAAATCCCCAGCAAGAGTGAATCGCCCCTCGGTGTTGCCCATCTCTGTCCGCGTTATTTCTCTCTAGAGCACTGGTAATATATCATATTGCATTGCTAATTATATCTTTTTTTCCCAGGCCAGCCTTTTAGGCCATGCGTCCCTTAAAGTCACACAGTTGTCACAAAACAAATTCTTCCCTAATGAGATAATTATTCTCACAATAAATAACCGATTTGCATATATTTCGTTCATAATTTGTTTTATTTCCAAAATGCATTCTTTCCGATAAAAATATGCATTCAACCCGGCATTGTGTGATGGGACATGTGATAAGCGCTATTGATTTCCGGGTTTCTGGAGAATAATACAGTATCGAAATTCAAAACTACCTTGTTAAATAATCGGGAATTCACGAGCAAATATCCAACAATTTAGGGACCAGCTGGAAATAACTTTTGAAAAATGTCAGACATTTACAAAACAAACATAGACTTTGAAAACGGGTTATGAAAATCTTCTAAAACTAAATGGTTTGAAATGGCAAAAATCACTAGCAAAACAAATGACAAAAACATTTTGAATTCGCAGGATAAGTAGGCCAAACAAGTGACAGTTATCCGAAGTATGACTGTTTCGCTCTCTTTTAATAACATGGTAATTCTTAGGACCAGGATATCAAAGGAATTGGCGCCAGACGCTCAAGGGTAAAACAGAAACAGACGCAGGTTGTATAGGAAAAGTTTCGAGAATAGAAACCAATGGCCTAGACACTTAAATAATACGATGTCACGAAAAAGCTTGTGGTAAACAAAGTTCAACTTACCAACTTTCCACAATCCCTTGTTATTAAAATCGAAGGCCATTTATAAATGTTCACTCTGCATCAAATCATGGATATTTTTGACAACTGTCAGCGGTGGAATATTTCAAATTTTTAATGTTACGGACCCACATGTTTATGTTACGGTCGCGTGTTTGATCAGAACGAGACCTTCACTGGTACTGTATTGCTTTGCACATTTAAAACTGCTGGTTGTGGTGCGAGATGACACCGAATGAATTTACAACGACAAGGAAACAAAAAACAAAACTAGGCTTACCCTCAAACGGATTTTCAATGGTTGGCTGAAAGAAAACAAGAAGATTGTCATTGGGAGCAGCTTAACAATCGAAAATACAAAACGATTCGATCAAGCGTCTAGAGATAATACGAAAAACGGTTAGTGCGTAGAAGAAGGTCGCTGCAACAGACAG